TCCTTTTTGTTATGCAATAAGACAAATAAATGAACCCAAACTCATGAATTCTTGAGAATTTCAGTTAGTTGAAATTTTGTTATTCACTTTTAGTTAACGATTGTAAAATTCCTGAAGCTCCTGATAGTCTTAATGAACAGCACTACTGTTTCTTAGATTTTTCTACTTGCTGATTAAGGAATCTGGCAGCTACTATGAATTTATGGTATATCCTTTCAAGGAATAAAAGTAAATTGAATCCAGTGAATAATACAGGCCTTCAAATTCTTACAAAATATGAATCATAATATTTAAGGGCAAAAATACCATTCAGCACTATGCGTTTCCTAAATTTCATGCTTCACATAATTTAAGTAAGTAAGATACATCCTTTTCCTTATGATTCTAACAATGGTTTTTACAATTATTGGAGCAAGAGTTTTGGGAGGTTACAGTCCCAAAAGAAAGTAGGAGTAATTGTGCTAATTTTTTCCCTCCATTTCATTCTGTAAATTACTTCCTTTCTCCCAGAAATTTGGTGTTGTTAATAGCTGCAGAGGGTGCTGTGAGTCATGTAATTTGGTCTTAAGTGACAACAGGCAATCTGTAATGTGTTTAGCTTTAGAGTAGAGCATCATTTTTCAACTGATAGTTTGGAGACCTCAAGAGTTTACAAAGATGTTTCCATCTAAAGTTAGTAATTGTTTTAATATCTTTGGCTTTTTATATGAACAGATAACTAAGATAATTAATTTTCCTTTGAAAATGGAGTCATTTGAAATTCTCCGAGTGAAAATTAAGCAAGCACCGCTTGCTGGCATGGAGGTTGGGGCCGTTATTTAGTTTCAAATTTTTTTTATTCTTAGTTGCGTATAACTTCATTTTTCTCATAATATATCTTTAGTTAAAGGAGGAAAAATAAGGCACATTAAAATTAAACAAAATAATAAAGAGCATTATAAGTAATATTACACATACATATCAAGATGATCACCAGATTAATATTGTATTCATCAGATCAAAATTTCTATATATCATCAAGTTCCAAAGTTCTAGCCAAACAATGTTAAACAAAAGATAAGCTATATTGACAACCATTTCCAATTTTCCCTTTATTTATTGGTAATAGAACATTATTCACAACCCCAATGTATTTTTTTTTAATTTTATTTATATTTTCCCCAAAAGCCCCAGTAGATAGTTGTATGTCATAGATGCACATCCTTCTAGTTGCTGTATGTGGGACGAGGTCCCAGCATGGCTAGAGAAGCGGTGCGTCAGTGCGCCCCTGGGATCCCAACCCGGGCCGCCAGCAGGGGAGCGTGAGCACTCAACCGCCAAGCCACGGGGCCGGCCCCCCCAATGTATTTTTTGTAGAGTAGTGCTTACAAAGAACAACTCCATTCTTTCTCTAACCACTTAGAGAAAAAAAACTACAACCATTTAAAAGAAATAATCCACTTGATTTTTTTGAAGTACAATTTGCAAAAATTAAAAATCAGGAAGTGAAAATATTTTTATACATTCTTCATGCTACAACAACTAATTTTTAGCATATATTTTAATATACAATAGGTTCCCAAATGTGATATGGTGTGCCATTTTAAAATTTCTTCCAATTATTCATAATTCATTTAAAGACAATTAAAATGAATTTAATTATTAAAAAAACAAAAATTGGACTTATATGTTATGAATATTGTTCCAGTTTCTATTGCCTCAGAGCCATCTCAGCAGGAGGCTAAAGTAAAAAAGGTCTTATCTTGCAAAGACCTGTTGTGTGGCTTTTGTCCAGCAGAGTGAACCCCACTGAAATCCTCAGGAGACGCACAAGGTTCTTGAGAAAATTATTTCAGCAGAAACACTACCAGCTTGGACTGAAAGAAACAGAGCTCCTTGTCACGGATCCTATTGCTGCAGGAAACTGAATGTTGCCAACAACCAAGAGAGCAGGGAAGCAGATACTTTCCCAGTTTAGCCTCCAGATGAGAACGCAGCAACTGATAACTAATACACAGTGCGTCATGCTCACCTCTCTCTGAACACTTCAGTGATTAAATAAGGTAATGTATGTCAAAGTGCTCAGCAGTGTTCAGCAAATAAAGAAATACTTCCTCCTCCTCCTTCTTCATTTGCTCTGTAAGACCTACTGGAAAAAAGTCCAAAGTGATTGTAATACATTTATAACCTGACCTCAAACTAATTTTGCAGTCTTATCCCTCTCTGCCTAGCTAATTCCAGCCAGACTGACTTACTGCACTTCACCCTTTCTACTTCCATGAATATCCTGCTTCCTCTTCTGGAATACCCTCTCTGAGGGCATCTGCTATGACAATTCTCAAATTTCTAATCCGATTCATCTTTAAAGCACAGCTTATATGCCATGATATTTTACCATATCATAATCTACCTATCTGATATTATCTTTTGGGTTAGCTCTTTGAGGATATGAATAATGCTGTGTGACTCTTTAATGCTTCACTGTGTCTTGTGTTTGTTGAATGACTCATAAATACATTTGGAATATAACCTCACCCCTTCTTTTTTGAGACATTCTTCTTTCTCTATCCACTGTGTCACTGTTCTTTTTAGAGATTTTATGCTGGCACATATGAAATTAACAGTGTCCACTGCTGAAAAACTTTCTGCTGGAAAAAACATACCTACAGGTATAGCTCAGTAGTTAAGAGCATGGACCCTGGAACCAAAGTGCCTGAGTCTGAACCCAGACTTCCCTACTTGGGCAAGTTACGGAACATTGCTGTGCCCTAGTTTCCTCTTGTATAAAACAGGATAATAGTGGTACCTAGTTTACCAGGTTGTTTTGAGGATTAAATGTGTGTGTGTACTCATGCATGTGTGGATGTGTATTAGAACAACGCTTAGAATACTCTTTCTTGTCAGTTATTTTTGTATATAATATGAGAAGAAAAATAGTAGGTGCAGAGGTTCTGTGATAGTAATCGCAGAATGTGAATTGGAGAAAAGAACTGTGTTTGTAAGGGAAAACCTTGTAACAGGCATTATCAATCTTTTTTTGCCCTTTCTTCTACACAGTGGTTCACAACAGGGGATGATTTTTGCCCCCCAGGGCTTTGGCAACATCTGGAGACTTTTTGGTTTTCAAGACTGGGATGGTGTGACTGGCATCTAGAGGGTAGAGGCCAAGGGTGCTGTTAAACATCCTACAATGAACAGAAAAGCTCCCCAGAACAAGTCATTATTCAGACCAAAATGTGAATAGTGCTGAGGTTGAGAAAACCTGTTCTAGAATCTTCCGAAATGTAATGAGAGGAGACATTATATTACTTGTGAGTAACTCCTTTAGACCGTGCATAATCACAGCTTTATTGCAAGTCAGTTTTTCATTCATAAAACGAACGCTAAATCCTGCTTACTTCCTTTAAAAGGGTTAGTATGTGGGTTAATTAGTGTTTGCAAAGTCCTTTGAAGATGTAAAGTCCTATGTAAATGCTATTTATTATTAATTACCATTTTGGAAGGCCTTTGCTGTGAGCTTCCCTGTTCACCAGTACAGCCAAGCCTCAAAGACCTGAGCAATACTGAATTATTTTTGATAAGTTGGAACGTTTATAATGAGAAAGATAGGCATCAGGGACCTAAGCCAATTTTAGATAGCTGGGATATGACTGTATATAAATTAGCTCATTATGATCAAGAAAACTATAGATTTTGCTTTGGGATATGTTTGCTAAATTAGAGTAAATTTCTTCCAATTTTGCAACACTATATATAGCAAGAGAGAGCAGTAGCAAGAATCCATAATACCACTTTAATGATTATGAAGAAACAGAAATAATTCATAGAAATAAATTTCTATTACTTATGTTTATAAACTGATTTTCTTTGGCCAATGAGTCCTTGTATAATTTGGACTGTGTATGATAAAATGAAGACAATAAATGATTTTTAAAAACTTAAAGAAACCAAGAAACTGAGTATAATACAGTATGCTTTTTTTTCGAAGTAAGAAGTGTAAATCATGTCCCATTAACATAATTAAGTACTTTGACACTACAAATGTCTTTAAGTTTCGATATAGCTCTTGAGCTTACCTAATGTGATATTTTCCTCTTAGGGCACAGAGTCTAACCTCTAGATTTATATAACCATGTTATCTTTAACTCAGCATCAACCTGGATAAAGTATGTGTTGGTGACATACTGGGGTAAATCTGGGTTGGCTACCCTTGTCGAGGCATAAGTCCAAGCTGTGGGATTTGGCTTGGTCAGTTTTTGGTGAAATGTATTTGCATGGATGAATCTGCTTCATGTCCATCAACAACATCCATTCCTGGGTACCTCATTTTGGGAGTGAAATTTAGAAATAGGGAACAGCGAGAGAAGAATTACCAGGGAAGCTTTAGAGTCTGACCAGGAAAATTTTCAGAGTGTAAGACAACTTTTTTCAAATCCAGAAGAACTGACATGGGAAGAGGGAATATTTTCTCTGCTAATGTCTTCAGGGTGAGAATAGGAATACTGAAATTGGGAAGAGGCAGATTTCTCCTCAACAGGAGAAAGGAATAGCAGACTAACTGTGGAATGAGCTACCTTAGGGGCCGAGTTCTCTGTTGTACAGGAAGCCTAGCCAAGGTGGCCATTTCCACTAGGTTCTGCAGAGCGTGCCAACAATCAATGGGAGGTTGGAACACATGGCCTTTAAGGTCTCATCTGTTCGTGAGAACTTGACTATAATCTGGTTGTCTTGTGCTTTCCTTTACTAACTTTCAGCGTCTCTCTAATTAGACCAGGCTCTCTTGACAAGCCAGAGTCTTACTGTGGAAACTTTTGATTTTCTAAATTCTATGGCCAGTTTCCGACAGGTTCTTTATCTATTATATCACCTTAGCTTCTTTGCACTGTTATGGTGTTATGATCTAATCCTACTTTCATTCACAAATTAATTCAGCACTAGTTTATTATTTATACACCTTCTATGTGTAAAAGCATGATGCTTGGTGCAGGTTCAAATACTGTAGAATTCCTACCCACAAGGAGGTTGTAATGTAGAAGGGCAGATATGATGACAGTAGTAGGTAGTGTATTAAACTGATCAGAGTAGTAGAAAACGTGACAAATGTTTGTATTTGAAAGAGATCTTTCCTAATTGAGATGATCTAGGGAAGGAAGTAGGATTTGAGTTGATACCTTAAGGAGGGAGAAGAATTGGTTAAACAGAATCAGAAAGGAGCCTCTTGCTGCACCATCAGATCATTTCAATATTTTCATCTGAGGTGACATAAGCTTTATAGAGAGATTTCTTTTGTTATTGCACATTCTCACTTCCTCTCAAAAAATTTTTTTTGGTAATTGGTAAAATGTGTTTTGGTTCTAATGGATTAACTTTATAAAACTGGACATAATACCCTTAATCCTTTCTCTTTTTAAATGTATAATCTGTTCAGTTCTCTATTAGAGCTATGTTGAAATATATAACACATCTTTTTATCCTCCCCAGCTTGTATTTTGATATAGTATTTTTTACTCTCAGTTAACACCTAAAAGGCAATATGATGAGCATTATACTTTCCACATATCCTCCCCTTCTCCCATTTTTTTATGGTTGTCATATATCTATCATTACGTACTGTTCTGTCATTCTTATTTCCATATTTTAAAATGTTTCAATGGTCATTATTTTGTCGGAGTTTCTACAGTCATTCTTGATGGTTTGACACTTGTTTTCTGTGAATTCATCAGGTAGAGTTTATGGAAACAATATTCCTAAATTCTTACATTTCTGTAATAGCTTGCCTGTGACTGTTATATTTACAGTTTAGGTAAGTGAAAATAAAATCATAGGCTCACATTTTCTTTCCCTAAGTATCTTAATATGTTATTCCATTGTCTTCTGGCCTAAAACATTGATGTCTAAAAGTGTGATTATTAGATTATCTTTTCCTTTTAGGGAACTTTGCCTGGATGCCAAAAGAAATTATTTTTAAAATGTTCCAGATGTTTTCCTAGACTATTTCTTGGTATTGAGAATTCAGTTACTTCTTCTAGGTGCACAGTATGACCTTCCAAATGTGATTTCAAGGTTTTTATTCCTTGAAATATTTTCTTGTATTATGTTCTTGCCTACTAAGTTATTCTATTCGTTAAGTACTGCTGTATTGCTTTAGTTTCCCCCTTTGAGACTCCTATTCTACATATGTTGGTTATTCTTTATCTTCTATTTCTCTCAGTTTTTACAGAATCCTTTCTATCTCTTTCTTGATTTTTGCATTATGTATTTATTCCAAATGTTCTTTTCTATCCTCTGTTTTTTTTTACAATAATTTCTGTGATTTCTATTCTTTCTTATGTTCCTTTAAGTTTAGACTTAATTTCTGAAATCCGTTTATCTTTTATTTCACAATCTTTTCTGAGCAAGCTGAGCTTTCCATGTTTTTCTGTTGTTTAGACATCCCAGTACTGATCTTTTCTAATTTTGATGTACATTGCTTTTCTTCCATAGATTCTATTGTTTTCTTAATTTAATATAGCATATTTTGAAATATTAGATTACATTTTTTTCTCTCTTTTGTGGCCATATTCTTTAATGTCTTCCTTTTCTGTAGAATGTTATTCAGATTTTTTTTATTCAATTTTTCTTACAATATCTTGGTATGGGTTTTGGCTGCAGACCTTTTATGTTGCTAGCATTTAAGTAAATTTGTTTTCCTATACTTTTAGGAGAAAGTTTCTATTTAGGGGATGGAGTTGGGTGAAGATAACTTTGTTAACTTTACATTTTTGGGGTTCCATCTTTGTTGTTTCTACAAAGTACTATAAATACGATCTTTTCATGTGGCCATCTCTCCAATACTTGATGCTCTCTGCCTCCTCTTTCCCCCTCCACCTAAACTTTCTGTTTTCTTTACTGCCAGTATCCCAGGCCAAATCACTGTGGATTGTATTCTCTCACAGATCTTCCTCAGTACAGGGCTCTGTCCTTTACTCATTTCAGAGCTCCTTAATGCCTAGGCTTCTTCAGCTCGGTCCTCTTGTACTCCTCCCCTTGTACTCCAGTTTCTGTACTCCACAGAAACTCAAGCTTTCTAATCCTCCTTCTAATTTCAAACCTTGTTTTCAGATCCTGCACCCCAAGTGGAGACTCCTTTTTGGAGCTTGGTAATTTCTGTATTTCTCGCCTATGAGAACCATCAGAAGTCCCCTTGCCTTCTCTCTTCTTTGTCTAGCACAACTGCTATTTCTACACAGCTCTTCTTATGGTAATTGATTTAATCCTGTCCCTTTATATTCAGGGGTTAGCAGGGATACTTTCTTCCTAGTTTTATTGTTGTTTGTTGTATTTGTTTTGTTGGTTATTCTAGTGGCTCTATCTATTTTTATGAAAGATGCAAATAAGATTTAAAAGCTATGCCTCTTCGGTTGTTGTGTCAATCTTGCATTTCCAGGAGAGACTTTTTGATTCTTGCCTTTAACAGATTTGTTCTCTAATGTTTCTGAATTAAAGGACTATTGAATTGGAAATTCACCCTTTCCTGGAAAAAATTACTGGCTGTAAGTTTCCAAAGAGTCTTAAGAAATAAACTATTTCTCTTCCTTTTTAAACATTTACAAAGCGGTAAATGTGAATTGTTCTTGGAGGTCCACGACTGTACTGTAGGAGATCAATTTATAATGTGAGGATATTTTACTATATTTAGAGCAATAATGATGAGATACCACCTTCGTTTATTTACAATATCTTGCTTTCAGGAGTACTGCAGCATTCAAAAATGTCAATCGTATATTAGCTCTTTGTATTTTAGCCTTTCTAGAGGAAGTTAGGCAGGGAAGCAGAAGTGTAATCTGGATTCCTACATTTTCTCTCTATTCTGTCAAAGTTTTAGCATCTGGCACTCACAAATAGCAGTTAATTGTTTGGAATCAAGAACACATGTGATTTTAGACACTATTGACTTATGTGGCTCTTTCTTCTTGCTTGGTAATTACTTTATTTGCAGAACTATTAGGTTTTTTTTTGATACCGCCAACACTGAACAGATTGGAAAGAAGGATTTATTTGTTCTCTAATTAAAAAAAAAAATGTCTCCCATGAAACGATTTCAAATGCATTGAATCCATTACAATACTGCCAATTTATAATGTCTAACTACAGAGGAAGGAAAATATGACCCCAAACACTAGGGAAATAGGAGTACAAAGAGAAGGCAGCTTCATTTTGCCTCTCACCCTTAGAAATCCCCTCATATTATTTTTCCTACATCTCCTCCTTTCTACTTCCACCTATTGGGGAATGACCATTTAAATAAATCAACCATGTTATTGTTCTTTCCTTAAATTTACCATAATAACTACTAACTTTTGTCTAAAATATCTCAGTTTATTAAGAACTTCAATGCGTACTGTCTCATTTCATTCTCACAATAATTCTGAGAGATGGGTATAATTATGTTCCCTATTTTGAGGAGTAACCTAAGATTTATTACCTAAGATAATAAACTACAGAATTCCTAAATGGTCTTTTTTCTTTCCAAATCATTTTTCAATTGCCATCAGATTTTTCTTTTTAAAATACAAATATCTGCATTGTCTATAAAATTTAGTCCAAAATCTTTAACATGACATAACAATCCTTATAAAGAGCTACTGTTCATTGAGCGTTTATTGTATGTTAAGTACTGTCCTAAATGCTTTACATATATTACTGTTTCACTTAATCCTCACAACAAAGCAGGAGGAAGGGGAAACAGAGGCACAGACGAGTTAAATAACTTGCTCAATATCAGACGGCTGGTAATGTGTGGACCCAGGATTTTAGCTCAGCCACCTGCTTCTCCATCTCTGCATTCCCCAGTGTGTAAACACACTCAATATTTCAGTCAGTTTATGCTCTGTCCCATTCTTAGATTCCAGTTTTTTGCATGCAAAATGTCAATTGTCTGAGTTTCTCTAATAAAACTGTCCCTTAAAATTTTAGTTAAATTTTATCTCTTTTTTTGTTGTTTTTGTAAATTTTCTGAACTGAAAATTAAATATATGTCACTAACCTTGGTCCTTTTTGAATCCTACCACAGTGTTAATCCCATCAAAACCTCTTGTCTTCGTCAGCTCAGCTGCTATAATAAAATATCATGAACTGGGAGGCTTAAACAACATAAATATCTTGCTCATAGGTCTGGAGGCTGGAAATCTGAGATCAGGGTGCCAGCATGGTCAGATTCTGGTGAGGACTCTTTTTCTGATTTGCAGTTGGCTGCGTTCTTGCTGTGTCCTCACGTGGCACAGAGAGAGGGAGAGATCTCTTGGTGTCTCCACTTATAAAGGCAGCAATCCCATCATGAGGGCCCCACGCTCATGGCCTCATCTAAACCTAATTACCTCCCAAAAGCCCCACCTCCAAATACCATAACATTGGAGATTAGGCCTTCAACATAAGAATTTGGGGAGGACAGAAACATTCAGTCCATAGCACCTGTTATTGAAAAATGCTATTTGTATGTTCACCCTTGGTAACATGGTAATGGGCTTGAGAGTTATAAAGAACTCTGCCTCCTGAACATTTACATCCAATGAGATACAAATTATGAGCTGAAATTAAAGGAAAAGAAATGCATACTAGACTAAAACAGCAATTATTTCCTTAGCTAAATACTAAGAGTTGCGTCCGGTCTTTAAAGAGGAAGAACTGGAAGTTAATTTTCAGAATCCTATCATATAATACCCTTAGAATTGTTCTCTCTATATTTTGTATTGTTTCTACATAGTGAAGTGTGTACGCAGATCATATTCTAGGTTGTGCTTTTATTCTCTTCATGAAGCTTCAACTTAAAGAAATCAATTTACTATTGTTAATGTGCACATTTCCTCTGGTTTGGTCCTTACATGACTATCAAAGTCTAGATTATGTTGTCCCAGTAAGTAAATCCAGACAAGCAGCATACTTTATTGCCTGACTGCATGCTACTTTACTACAATATATTTCTCTAGATATGCTGTGAATTGTTTATACAAATTGTTATTGTGTCCTCTAGATGATGTCTAAGTTGGTGTCTGTTTATTTCATTAGATTGTAAGCTCCTGGATGGCAGAGATACATCCTGCTATAACCATATTCCTTCCCAACCATAATAAATAGTATAATGCCAGAAAAAAAAAAAAAAGAGACTTAAAAATAATGTTAGATTTTTTTTTCAATCTAGAAAATAGGATTCAAAACAGTACTTGGAAAATATTATGAAGGAACATAAAACAATAGTACGAAAGGAAGAGAAATGAAAGGGAATGTTATACACAGAGTATAAAAATTGAGTATCACTAATGACAACAGTACAAGATAGGTATAAAGCTTTAGTAATGAAATGATGTGGTCCTGGTACATGACTAAGCAGACAGATCAAGGACCCAGAAAGTCCAGAAATAAACCCAATTATATGTGAACTTCAGTATATAATAAAGGTGTGTTTCATGTCAATGGGGGAAAACATGGATTATTTGATAAATAGTTTGGTGACAACTGTGTAGTCATCTAGAAAATACACAGTCAATTTGGACCCCTCTCTCCTTGCTTAAACCAAATATATTTCAGGTAAACCAAATATTTAAAAGTAAGAAAATAAAGCTGTACAAATAATAGAAGCCATACAAATAATTCAAATTTAGAGGAAGGCTGTTTTAAGCATTGAAAACAAAAACAGAAGCCAGAGAAGAAAAGATTGCTAAATTTTATTTATAAAATTTATAAAAATACTCTGCAGTAAACACCATAAATAATTCAAAGGAAGTGACATGGTAGGAAAAATATTCATGAGGAAATAGTATAAAAATGACTTTTTTCTTTATTGTATGAAGGGCTCCTCTAAGAAAGAATATCAACTAGATAATAAATAACAAGTACAATTATACATAAAAATGTTCAAAAACATAAAAGGATAGGTCAAAGAAAACAAATAGCTATTAAACTTATAAAAAGATATGTTCCTCATCCATAGCAAAGACAAACTACAGTTGTATTTTTCTTTTTGCTGTTTTTTGCTATTTTGCTATATTTCTTTTTTGTATTTTCTTTTTAAAGTTATATTTACAAAATTTGCAAACCAAAACTTTGATAATATTTTCTGTTGATGCGAATGTCAAAAAATAGATATTCTCATGCTTTTTTGATGCAAATATTTGTATTATGTATATATTGATTCTCTGTGGGGCAAATAGCAATAGCTATCAAAATGTAAAATGCATTTATACTCTGGCCAAGTTATTTAATTTCCAGGGACTTATATTACAGATGCTGTTACACGTATACCAAAGGATGTATTTACAAGAATAGTTACTATAAAATTACACTATAATGAAGGCGAAGAAGTAAATGTTAGCAGAAGTTTGGTTAAATAAATGATATTACATCAGCCTATGATAACATGAAACTATTAGAAAGAATAAGACATTTTTATGGATACTAATATGGAAATATCTTTGCGATATATTCAGTGGGAAAGAAAAGGAAGCTGCAGCACGCTGTGTAGAGTCCTCTACCACCTGTTTTCTTGTTTTTAAAGGGAGGTATGTACTAGTATGCTTATACATGCTATCACTTCACTTCAGGACTACACAAGAACTGTCAAAATTCCTCCTCTGGAGAAGGAAACTGGGGGTCTAAGTAGATGGGGGTAAGAAATAGAAGTTTCATTTCTTTACACTCATTTGTGCCTTCTAAATTTTGTACTATGTTTATG